ATCGTTTACTACTCTGGAAATAGTTGAAGACTACAAAGATGATGCTGGTAATGTCAGGAGAAAATACATACGAATACAATATAAAAATGACACCAAATATTTTGGATTATATATAGACTCGCAACTCCGATTGAATATTCATACAAATAATGAGGCAAAAACTCTTAGCTTACTCCTATATAAATTCAAATATCTCATAAACTCACTGAGCGTTACTCACCTCAGAATTCTTTATGTGGCATTGGTCGAATGACGACTGGAATATGCAATTATAGCTTGGGAGGTGCAGCAGAGGTCAATGTGAAAAAATATCAATTCTTCAGAAGCTTGCACTCAAAATAATATATAATAGAAGACTAATTTACCCTTCGGATAGTATTTTCGCTGAGAGTAAATTACTAGATATGAGGCAGCTATATGTTTACAATATTTTGATATATGTTTATGAAAATAAAAGCCTTCTCCTAAGTATCAAGCATAACTATGAAATTCAATATAAGAAACACCTACATGTTTATACATGTACTACGTGGTAGGAAATCTCAATAAAGAAAAGAGAACTGAAACTTTCTATGAAATATAGTGATGAATTTAAACATTAATGTATAAGTTTGAAAATGTCTTTACAGAATGAAACTGCAGTAACGTTAGTTACAAATAAAAGTGATAAAAAACATAAAAAGTTTCAATTCTCTTTTCTTCAAGATGAGTAACCGTTTCCATGTATACATGGCAAAGGTTTACAACTTTTTGCCGAAAATCTATGAGATATATGTGAATATCTGAATCTATATACCAACTTACATTTGAATCCGTTGAACTGTTTAGGCATGAAAGAGTAAAAAATATAAATACATACATTACATTCATCCATCCTCACAAACTTCACATATTTATGATATTAGTAGGAGTAGGATTAATACGATTATATTTCACTCTTATCATTTCAGTTTTTTTGCTGATGTTATTCAATATCGTATAATTGGGTAACTATTGATTGACTGACCTTCTTATTTATAATGCACTTTTTGGAACCTTTGGTGTAGTAATGAATATTACTAGAGTTTTTTCCCAACACCAAATTGTTATTCAAACACCTCGACACGTGTTTCGATCACTAAGTATTCATCTTCAAGAGGAAGATCAAACGAATCCTATTTACAAAGTTTTTTTTATTTATACATACCATAGGTACCTTTTCTAGGTACCTGTGTCTTTATTGTCTTAAATTGATTTCATAATATTGCCTTATTTACTAGTTTTAAATTAATATTTCAATGTCTCCTTATGTAATAGTCAGGTAAATCTAATAATTGAAATATTATTTTAAC